TGTCATGTAGTTCCTGCCTTTAAGGACCATAAAGACAGGAAATGATGCTAATGGAAGAAGTGTGACTGAGGAAAACAGTGAGAGGAAGGAGGAGGAAATCAAGGATAGAAAGGGCACACGGGGGGCACCTGGGTGGCTCAGTGGGTTAAAGCCTCTGCCTCGGCTCAGGTCATGATCCCAGGGTCCTGGGATCGAGCCCCGCATGGGGCTCTCTGCTCAGCAGGGAGCCTGCTTCCCTTCCTCTCCCTCTGCCTGTCTCTCTGCCTACTTGTGATCTCTGTCTTTCAAATTAAAAAAAAAAAAAAAAGAGCACACAGGCTCAATAATCAGGGCCTGGTTCATTAGGACGTACCAATGTTATTTTTAAAAAAATTTAGAAATTATGAGCAATGGCACACAGCCAACAGGAGTGGGCTTGGAGGACATAAAATGAGGAGTCAGATGTTTGAAATTCTCTCCTTCCTTCTGAATGCATTTGGATCAGCAATGGAACCAATCCATCCAGAAGTCATCAGATGCTCAAAGACAGCAGTGCAAATCAGTCTCTGAAACTCATATTCAAGGAAGAACCTGTACTGGGGGGAGTGGGTAGAGAGGACTGGATAGTAGATTCAAGGCAGTAAATGGCAGAAGAGCATCCTGCTGTGGGGAACAGTGGTGGGAGTGCCAGATACGTGCAACCCAAATGAGCATCTGTTCAAGGTAAAGACTGAGGCCAGGCTGATGGGAGGGAGAATAAACATAATCCATTGATGGGATGTGACAGCTGGAGGAAGGCCGTGTCAGATGGGTGGTTCAGAGACACAGCTGATGCCTAAAACAATCAAACTGATCATGGATCTTCTTAAACAAGGCAATGAGGACATGGGTGAATCTTGAGAACACTGGACTGGGGAGGAGGGTTTTGACCTACGGGCCACTGTACCTTTCACACTCCGCCTGCACACTGGACACAGAGTAACTGACAGTTCTCATCATTCTCTCCTTCTTTGCCCTAAGCCTTGTTTCCTATTGGAAAGAGCCTGACTTAACATGTGATCTCTAGAAATAATTTTTTGGAAAAACATTCAGAGTATGTATGGAAAAACAGCAACTGTAAAACAATTTTTACATAAGCTATTTCGAACAAATAGGTTTTGATTTTTTTTTTTTTTAACTCTGGTAAGAACATTTCATCCTTCCAGAATATAAAACTGGTTGAGCCGATCCTTCTTTGCAAACTGTTCCTGAGTTTCAGGAGGTCAAGCAGGACGATCTGCCCTACTTATTAACATATCAGAACCTAATGCTATGGGTGACAACCGTTGGCATTCAGAGTGTTTACAGTCCCTGAAGCGCTCTGGGTCCTCTCCAGTTTAAATACTACTAGATCCTCTTGCCCACTCAGATTCATCATGGTAATATAAAAAAGTCCCCGTTTTCAAGTTGTGGGGCAAGCTGGTTGGCAGACCACACAAGGGACAGATTAAGAAAGAAGCTGATAAAGAATGTGATTCAGACAGTGCACTTTTACAACCTTCTCCTCCACTTTCCCTGGGCTAGCCCCTGCTTTCCTCACTTAGCCATCACGATAGTTTCAGGTCCCAGAGCTCTTCGCTATAAGCCTGGAGAAGCCAAGAAAAGTGAGGTGCCAGGAACATGGAATGGCAGTGTGGATTCTAACGGCCATAGCTCTAATAACAAAGGTCCAAACCTGTGAAGAAGGCCATGATCGCCCCTGCCTTGTGACACAAAGTTGAGGTTTATAGAACTCCCACTGGTTTAACTCTTTTACTTCACCCAAACAATGTAATCTGAAAGCAGCCATCTGAGATAAAGGAAGAATTGCTCCGCTCCACACAGAATCTACCGATATCCACAAGCTATTTTAGAGCTCTTCTTCTAAGACTCATTAATAAGATGAAAATTCCAACAGATTAAAAGCTGAACTGGGACATTTTATTCAAGGAAATTAGAGGTCCATTTCTCGAGCCACCATCATTAAAGGAATCCCGTCTTTTGTAGCTCAGTAGGTCTTAAAATAGGATTTGGTAAACTTGTGTGGATGGAGGTGTGTGCTTGCCTGGACGCAGGCAGATGGATCAGGTGAGCCTCTCTGGTCAAGATTCAAGCTGGGATTCAAGATTTTATGCTGAAACTACTTGTATACATCAACAGCCCCTACTTGGGGATAGTACGGTTACTTTAAACGGATCTATATGTAAGACTGAGTAGTATCTCCAAATCCACTTATCTTAGCAATAACTATTACACAAATCCCAATAAGAAAAGGTGTGTAAATCAATCTTGCTGGTTGAATTTGAACCTACTCACATACTCTAGCTTTATCATTTGCTAGTCAATATCTAGAACTGAGTCCCAAAACTACAAGAGAAACGCAGTGCCTTTGTGTAGGTGATTACATCATCAAGGGAGCGTGATGGGTTATTTCCTTCCTGCACATCTCTAGAGACTTGAGAAACTTTTTGAGGTGCTAAGCACCTAACAGGCCAAATCAGATTCTTCTGCATCATTTTGTTTGTGGGTGGCGGTGATTAAAACTAATGGTCACCAAACCACAGCTCGCAGGCCAAATCCTAGTCCAGCACCATCTTCAGAAGGCCTGTGAACCAAGAATGCTTCCACATTTTGCAATAGTTGAGGAAAGAATCAAAGAAGAATATGTCATGACAAGTGAAATTTAAATGACACTCAAATTTCCATGTATATAAATAAAATTTTATTGGCATGTAGCCACGCCCATTGGTTTACATTATTGTCTGTGACTGCTTTCATACTACAGACTTGCAAAAGAGACCACATGCCCTGCAAGGCTGAAAATATTTACTACTTGGTCCTTTACAGCATAAGTTTGCTGGTCTCTCTGATCTAGACAACTACAATAGTAGTATCAATTGAGATGGTAATATCAATATCCACTACAATAGTGTTACCAGTTTTCAAATATTTGTCCCCATCTTCAAGCTTTACTTCCTTCATTTATGATCCTAAAAGGAACTCATCTGAAAATGTTAAGCTAAAAGAAATAAAATCCAGCAAGAGTGTCATCTCTAGCCAGTCAATGTGAGGGTGAAATCCATTTAACATTCAATGAATGCATCAGATGTTGGGTTGTTTTTTTGTTTTGTTTTTGTTTTTGTTTTTTTGCTGTTTTTTTTTTTTTGATTTGGGGGTTCTTTTTTTGTTGTTGTTTTAAAGTTTACTCACCATGGGACATCTTTAGGGCAACCTGAATTTAGGACTTCGTCCTGTAAATCGAGCTAACATCCATCGTTATGATAAGATATGTGAGGATATTTTCTCTCAAGAGGAAGACCTACTCTACATATCTTCTATTTAAAAAAGATAAATGTGAGCAATACACTGACTTTAAACTTGCCAGTGAAGTCATCTTCCCACTCCAACTTCCAGGAAATTTACTTTCATGAGGAAGAGAGAAATGATCTGCACATAAACCTTTCATTAGGAATCACCAAGAGCCACATGAAGTAGTTCTACTAATAGATGTCAAAAGACAGTTGTCCCAATCTGTCTTGAAGAATCAGTCAATCATGACCCATCACCTGGGAACCTAGAGACTCCAGTTCATAAATGACTGGAGCCAAGCAATTCCTCCACATCACCCTTTAAACCACCTTTTCTCCTTGGGAAGAAAATAATCACAAAACTCTACACAAAAATACTATGAAACATTTTTAATCCTGGAAAGGACTTGATTTACTAGTAACCAAAAAGGGGAAAAGTGAACAGGAATAAAATTCAGTCTTTTAAATCAAGTGGACACATATCAAATTGCTCAACATTGTTAAATGGCATGATGTAATTTATCCATAGAAGACATTGTCTCATCCAGTGGAGAAGCGATTTAAATATGTTTTGACAGAGTGCTAGGAGATATTATAGACGAGAGTGGGCTTAATGTAGTATTTAAGGCTTCAAAACCTGTGCCTTTTAGAAAAATAATCTAGAACTTCTCCTACCATTTATGAGGGGAAAAAAACAACAAATGTCTATTAAAAGTCACAGAAACATGATTAATTTGTTTATGACTTCAACATTCCACTAAGCTCCACAAAGGCAAGACATAAAATTACAGTGAATTTTATAGCCAAGATTGGTCTGAATATTCTCCTCATGATATTATTTCTTTCATACTCCCTCAGTGCTTGGAATAAAATGACAGATCACTGGGATCCAAAGGGGGAAAGGCAGCTCCTTTCCAAAGATGGGACTGAGCTGACAAAATCTATTTTATATATCTAAAATTAGAAATAAAATAAATTCTTCAATACAAACTACATTTTCAGAGAGTTCATTAAAATTTAAGGCATTTTTTGACATGTCAGAGATTTTAGTCTGGTGACAGGAGAAGAAAGAAGCTACCTGGGAGCAAATCCCAATTATCTCTATGGCTTGGTACATACACATGGAACACAGCTGAAGATGAAGAGAGGTGACAAGTGACTATGTGGAACCTCCTAGCTCTGTCCAGCCTGGACACCTTTGCCAGGGCTCCTCTGAAAAGAAGCATCTCCCATGTATTGTCATTCTTCTGTTTAAATTTTGATCAAGATGGGAAAGGTTCATCAGCACAGTTACCAGGATAAATGTGAGCAATGCCAAAATAATTTCTTATTAAAAAGCAAGATTTAAGAAACTGAATGTGAAAAAGGTTGATGCTAAGTGACGTCCTTCCTGAATTTCACGACAAACAACAAAATCACGGCAACCTCACCTATACTGATGAATCCCACGGCAAAGATGTACACAAAAACGAACATTCATCCAACGATAACAGGATGGTTCAGGGTTTCACCTACCAGTCGAGTAACTGCAATTATTTATTTTTCTCCCACTTTCCACCAAAATAAAGACATCACCTGCTGAATCAAAAGTTACAAGTCATACTTCCTTGAAAGGCTTGGGGCAAATCTTACACAAACCCTGCCCCTATGGCCTGCCTCTCAGGCAATCACCAGTCTTTTTAAAAAAATTCTAGATTAAGATCTACAAAGATTACTGTTTATTGAAAACAAACCAGAGCACCTTAGATCATCAGTGGTCAGTAAACTCCCCTCTTTCCCAGTTCTAAAACAATAAAGGTTTACACACAATTAGTCAGAGCCAACTTCATTCAAACTTCTTTCAACAGATAATATTCAAGTCGTGCTAATTCTTGTAACCCATCCATCAGAGGAAGTATCACAATTACCTGGATCAATTTTGAGTAAGAACAACACGTATTTCCTAATTACTTATGGTACAACCACATTCTTATTATAAATACAATTAAATGCAGTTTCCCAAAATTGAGTTCCTTCCTTATTTACTCAAAAAGAAAAACTTCTATGGAAGTCATGATCCTCAATGTCTTAGCAGAAAAATAACCATGTAACTTTGATGCTTGATATAGGGCCAGTGTCCCACTGCCATTTTCTGTGAACCATGAAATTATCCTAATACCTTTGCACAGTTATGTGTCTTTATACACAAGCCATCCCACTTTCTTCTTCATGGTTTTGCATGTCATCTGATAAACAAGACTTCTCACTCATTTGAAATTATACTTCCAGCATTATATAAATGGTCTTAAACCATTTGATTTCCATAATACCATCAGCTTATTTGTTTTAATGGAAAGTCTGGCTTCTCTTTGCCTTTTTTTTTTTTAATATTCCTTCAAGTCTTTCAGTCAAGCCCTTCTTACCAGTTCCAACAAGGATGAAATTCCAAAGGCAAATATAAGTTTAGATAACCCAAACACATGTTTACATGTTTATTCTTCCTGAAAGGTTACTGCTTACTTAGGCTTCTGAAATCAAGAAAGACCCTATGGAAAAATGAAAAATTTATTGTCTTTCTTTGTTCACCATTTTTTAATAGAAAAGATGTTTTAAGGTCAGGAAAATAAATAATGGGAAAAAAACTATACCTTAAAATTTTTCAAATCTTCCCCCAAACTATAAACAAAGAAAAGACATAAATAGAATCACAATGCATATGCTCATATCTGCCCTCCAAAGCACACTTTTTATGTAGAAGTTATAAAGAATAAAAGTTACCCATTAATTATATGGCATGCATCAGCAGTGCGCTGGTGGGCTTAACCTCGGTTTTCAGTTATGTCTATTTACAGATTAATCTCTTCCTGAGTTGAGTTTCATCTTCCGTTGAGACCCAAGCCATTTGCTTTTGTATTTTTGGCAAAATACTTGAACATGTGATAAGGCAATCAAACGTTTCAACCTCCTTCCCTTTTCAGCGGCATGGCCCTCTGTGAGATCACCAACGTGCTGGATATGAAGACAGGATCTAAGCTACAGTCCTGTAGAACTAGAGATCAGGTTTCTGTGTTCATTAGTCTGAAGGCTACAGCACTGTCTTTTCATATATTCGGGGATCTTGAGGATTTCAGTTGAACAGATTCGAAATGGTCTTCTTTTTCCTATGAAGAAAAAAACATTGAAGCAAAATCAACTCATTCAAATTCCACTAAGATTTTAGGATCTTATGGGTCCAAAAGGAAAGTTCTGGAAATCATTTCAATCTACATACCTGCCCGTTGTGATTAGGATTTTACATTTAAAGGAGAGTGGCAGATATAAAACAGATAGCATCCTTACCCTGAAAGATGCTTTTGATGGCCAAGAAATAAGACAGACAATTCAAAAATAGAGGCAAACACATGATCTCAATAGATAACCAAAAAATACAGCTTCACAAAAAAATATTTTAGCGAAGAAACCACTGTGACCAGACCCTTCCTAAGGGGATATCTGACCTGGGTGCTGAAACAGATGACCTTGCCATATGAATTTTGGACAAGAGAACTGACAGAAACTATATATTCACAAGATGCATAGAATACATAGTAAGAAGGATAGCAGAAATAAATAAGGAGAACAGCAGTAAGACACAAGATCCTTTGGGTTTGTTGACATGTTTTAGGAAAATCTGTTGGGTATATACCTTCTAAAGATTAAAAACAAGTCATCTTAGATAATAAATCAAAAATTTAACTCAGATATATCATTGCTGACTTTTGTTGCATATTACATTCAAAACGCAGCCTGTTAAAATCAGTACTTCTTTAATGGGGAAAAAGAGAATTAAGAGATTTCTCTCAATGTTGCACTGTGAAAGTCAGGAAGAACTTTCTGGAGTCTGCTGGAATGGAGTGGGGGGACTATGCTTTCAAAGAGAATAACAATGAAGAGAACTAGGAGTATTTTAAAATAAAGGAAATAGGAGTGGGGCCAATCCTAGGTGCAAACCAATGTGTGTCTGAAGTAGAGAAGTGAAATGAGAAAATAAAAGTGAGCAAAGCCTGAGTACCTGTCAGAAAAAAATAAGGCAACTTTTGTGCTTTCTCTCATTTGAGTGGAGAAATCCAAGACTTCAGACAAGCTTTCGGGCTACAGGGAAAGGAGGATGTGAAAAACGTCATGTGAACACCACCATCTCACTTTCCCTTGCCTGCGCTGAGATAATGTGCCTGCAGGAGGGCAGACCTCACATCTCCTCCGTGCTCTCACTCACTCATTCTCTCGCTCTGAAGAAGTTTGCCTGGAGTCTCGTGTTGACCAGATGGCATTTTATTGAAATAACCGTTGATAATTCCAGTGTTTATTAAGCCCCAAGGCACTGCAGGAACAGGACTAAACTTGAGGACACAAACTGTCTGTCCTCAAGGAGCTTACATTGTATTGTGGGAAAGAGCATTAGGGTACCAGGAATAAACTAGAAAGGAAATCTGAGATTTTTATGATCTTTCCTTGAGAAGATTTGATTCAATATGTTCCAGAGGGGAGAAGGGGAAGAGGCCTGTTGGTGATCCTAAAGCTGTGATTTGAAAAAACACTGAAAACACTCTATAAAATCATGTTATTAGCATCCTAGGGCTTTAGATGTTGTGTCCTCTTTGTTCACATGGGGTTTTGCTCCTATTATTGAGAAGGTGGGATATACATGTACTTACACGTGTGTGTGTGTGTGTGTGTGTACTTAACACCACTAACTGAGGCTTATAGATGACAAGAACTGTATCTTATTCATTTTTAAAATTTCCAAAACATGGCTCCAGGCCTAGTACATGGTAGGCTGTTACTGCTTATGCAAATGTACTGAAATGCCACATTTCAGAAGGGAGAACACCGGATTGAAACTCAGGAGATGGGTTTTTAATTTCTACCTAACCTTCTCTTAGACAAAGAAGGGAACCTCTCTAGATATCAGTTTACTAAAGTATGACATAAAAATGCCATACAAATGATTTTTCTGAGTTCTAAATTCAAGAATTTATTTAAAAACCAACTTCCCCCAGAAGCTTCTCCTTCCCTGTCACAGCCTTATTGCACTCCCTTCTCTGTACTTTAAGGGACCCTGTGTAATGTTCTCATCACACTGGATAATGGTATGTGTCTGTGAATGATGTTCATGTGTCGTATACTAATAAACCAGATATTTCTGACATAAGAAACAGCATCTAATTTGACAAAGCACCAAACCCAGGCAGGATGTCTATCAGATAGTATCTCATGAGTGATGATGGGACGAACAAAAAAACAAAAAACAAAACAAAAAAAAAAACCCTGAAGACACATTTTTATAGTCGCTGAGAAAAGCCAAGAAAAGTAAACCCGTAAAAAAAATCTGACACATCCAGTGTATTGGGAGGAAAATACCAAATAAGATTTGACTTTAGGACAGGAATAAACATATATATAAGATAAGCCAGATCTTAAATGACATAACAGTTAAGAAATTTTACAACCATTTTCACTCCACAGAGCCAGGCACAACACATTTTTTAAATAGGAGACACAGTAAGACTTGTCTAATGATATTAGTAGCAGATTTAGTCATAGCTACATATTGGAAATAGCCCAAGTATTCATCAAGAGGAGAACGGTAAAAAATTTTGGCAAATCCATACAATAGAATACTAATCCTGAATAAAAAGGAATCTACCACCAATTAACACAGGGTAGATACATCTCAAAAATGTTTTTCTGAGTGAAAGGAAACTTACACAAAATACTCTATACTGTGTAATTACAGTTATATGAAGTTCTAAAACAGACAAAACAAATCTACTGTTTAAAAAAATCACTACAGCAGTTTCCTCTAGGGGGTGAAGATGAGGATCAGTTTCATGCAAAAGTACATGAGTCCTCTTCCAGGGATGAGGTTAATATTCTATTTTTTGATAGGATTTGGGGTGACACAAGAATATGCACTTCCCAAGGGTTCATCAGATTGCATACTTGTTATGTGGGCATTTCACTCTATGTGAACATTATCCCTTAGAAAAAACTGAAAATATTGAATTCTCTCATCAATTATACGTATCCTGCAGTGTTTAGTTGTGAAATGTATTGAATCCCGCAGTTTACTTTGAAATGCATCAAAAAAAATTTATTGGTAAATGAATAGAGAGATAGAGATTTAGAAAGATAGGTAATAAATCAAATAGAGTAAAATTTAGGTGGTGGGTATGTGGCTGTACCGTGGCACAGTTCTTTCAGTTTTTCCATAGCATTTTAAATTTTCATTGAAATGATTTTTTAAATTATTATGGCAATTAAAATTGCTATTCAGAACAAAAAGAGGTGTACTCAACCTTCTCAGGAAGAAAAACTTTATCCTCCACCATGCTTCCTGTGACTGTTTTCAGGAATCTTTCAAGCTTTCAATTTTATGGTTATAAAATAACAATGAAGGAGGTACTGCAAGAGGAGGAAACACTTTATAGTTTATTAATACTTGTAATTCCTGGGGAGCCTGGGTGGCTCAGCTGGTTAAGCGTCTGCCTTCCGCTCAGGCCATGATCCCAGGGTTCTGGGTTCGAGTCCCACATCGGGCTCCTTGCTTGGTGGGAAGCCTGCTTCTCCTTCTCCACCTCCCTCTGCCCCTCCCCTTCCCCTGCTTGTGCTCTCTCTGGCTCTCTGTCAAATAAATAAAGATAATCACTTTTCCTCAAAATCTTTCCTGGGGCCTGAATGCTTCCTCCATTACAAGACAATGCCCTCACAAAGAGGGAATCACAAGATCAAATCAGGCAAGAGAGGTCTAAGTATACTGACGATGGGAGATCATTCTCCATGGGTCTCTCGTGTTTCTGCAAGTCTTCTGAGGAAGACATTAATTGCCCTTCATGATACACAATCTTCTCAAAGCTGTTGATATTTTACAAAAAGCCTTGGAAGAACTCAAGAAAAGTTTGCTTGCAGCCCTGATATTGTCTCCCCCTGCAGAGCCAATGGCAGACATGCTTCCTGACTGTTAGAAAAGATTCAGATTCCCCAAGCTAAGCGCTCATTTCTGCAACATAACACACTGTGTATCACCTAGGCCACCTCACTCTGTGGGAGATGGGGCCTGAGGAAACAAAATAAGCATTCATGTTGGCCACTGCTACTGCTATGAATAATAGACTTGTTTTATTTCTGACCCAGGAGACTCCTTTCTTCAAAATGTCCATAAAAGTATGCAGGCTGATTTGTTGGCTAGCAAATATAGTGCAATTTCATAACCATTGTAGTTCCTCGCTGTTTTGCTGATGAGGATGGAAAATTGACAGGTGTCTTTTTAGTAGAATAAGTATGACAGCCTCACACATTGTTTAGTAAGATTTGAGCAAAGTCCATGAGACTTAGCAACGAACATGGTGACCAAACTGTTTGATCAACAAGGCAATTAAAGTTCTCCATTTCACTGCCTGGAAGGAACCGGGGAGGTGGTTGTAGGCTGAATGCTGGGAAGTGGTTCCAAGAGTTCATGGTTCGGCTGCCTGAACGGTAGCCTGGATGCTGTTAATCCTCCACTGGGGACTTCCTCACCAATCAGGCCATCAATTGCAGGTGTGCTCCTTGGGAACAAGTAGTACTAAAATACACCCTGATGGGAAAAGGTTTCACCCCCTTTCACAAGAGGTTACAGAGACATGCACCAACAATGACCCTTAAAGAAAAAACAGAAACCACTTACGGCCAGAAACTAGGTGAACTGTTATATTTTGGCAGATTCTCTTTGGAGATGATGTGGCAGGAGTCAATGATTATTAAGAATGGCAAGAGCTGGGCCATCCTTGTGCTAAACACCTCTTGTGCTCTATCATGCCAACTTTGGATGTGTTCAAAGAGGACAGTAAAAGGTCTCAGAGATTTTGTAGTTGGTCCCCATGGCAGTAACAGAGCTTTGGCCTTCTTTAGCAGATTTCCCTGAAAATCAGTAGAAAATCCCCACAGGAAGTCTAGGGAGGGACTGACAAGCAATGGGGCTCTTAGTACCCCAGATTGGGTTACTATGTGGAAGGTCACTGGAGAATGAGAAACTGACCCAAAGGAATCTTAATAAGTTAATATGATCAGCCCCACCCTAGAAGCTTCCCCTATCCTTTATTTTAAAACAAGGCAATAATTTAGATTTATGAAAATGGAACAA